GCGTGGGAGATATTATTAAGAAGTGAATATTTGTAACTTTTTTTTTTTGACATGTTATAGCTGTGTATTGTGTAGAGATAGATAATTAATTTGATGTGTAGTATTTCTGTTGGTCTATTTTAATAGCCTATTAAAAAATTAGTGGAAATATACACACACATGTATAGTGTGATCGTGTGTGTGTGTGTGTGTGTGTGTGTGTGTGTGTGTGTGTGTGTGTGTGTGTGTGTGATTGTGATTGTGATTGTGATTGTGTGATTGTGTGTGTATGTGTGTGTGTATGTGTGTGTGTGATTGCGTGTGTGTGTGTGATTGCGTGTGTGTGTGTGATTGCGTGTGTGTGTGTGATTGCGTGTGTGTGTGATTGTGATTGTGTGTGTGATTGTGATTGTGTGTGTGATTGTGATTGTGTGTGTGATTGTGATTGTGTGTGTGATTGTGTGTGTGATTGTGTGTGTGATTGTGTGATTGTGTGATTGTGTGATTGTGTGATTGTGTGATTGTGTGTGTGTGTGTGTGTGTGTGTGTGTGTGTGTGTGTGTGTGTGTGTGTGTGTGTGTGTGTGTGTGTGTGTGTGTGCGTGCGTGTGTGTGTTTGTGGTTGTGTGTGTGTGTGTGTGTGTGTGTTTGTGTGTGTGTGTGTCTGCCTGCCTGCATGCCTGTCTGTCTGTCTGTCTGTCTGTCTATATATATATATATATATATATATATATATATATATATATATATATATATACATTATATATATATATATATATATATATATATATATATATATATATATATATATATATATATATACACACACATATATATATTATATATTGCATGTTTATATCTACATTCTTTAGAAGCATAGAAAAAGTATTTTTAGTTATGAAATTGGTATTGTCATTAGTAAAACATTTTGTTCTATTCTCATGTGTAGAGACGAGAAAGCTGTTGGTTATAAAAACAAGGGAGGATGGACAGCATTGATGTATGCAGCTTATTATGACCACTCAGATGTAGTAAAGCTACTCTTAGAAGCTAATGCTTCTGTTCACCTGACCAACAACGCCAGATGTAATGCTCTGATGTTAGCTGTTATGTGTGGCAATGAATCCATAGTAGAAACTTTGATAAAGGTTAGTGTTATATATTATTATTATTATTATTATTCCATATTTTTTTACTTAAAGATTTGTTTATGAATATATATTTGTTTTACTTCTTCTGAATCCTGATAAAGGTGGGCTTTTTTTTGGGGGCATTTATGCTTCACAAAAGCAAATTTCAAAGACCAGAATGCTCAAGAATCCATATAATTTGAGATCTAAAGAAGCCACCAAAATTTGTACTTGTGTGGCTTGGTGGTCAAGACAGATTCACAATCTGCTACGATGTGATAGGCAGTCATTATCATTATATTGAGTATTTTTTAATGTATGTGTGATTGCAGCATCAGACTAAATGATACATCCTCTTAATTCAAAATTGCTATTTCTCATTTTCCGAAATATGCATGCTGAAAAATTGTCTTTTTATAGTTGAAGAAATAGGGAGAAGACTTTGATGTTATTACATTATTCATTTATGCATGCCTTAGCCTTGTAACTTGTATGAATTAAGGGGATATTGAACCAGGTTTTCAGTTGTAATCTTCAGTTATAAAGCTGGTCACTCAGAAATTATACATTTTCAGGCTGGCAGCATCTTAGAAGCTCGAGATAACTGGGACTGGACAGCACTCTTTCATGCAGTAAATTCAGGCCATCATAGTGTGGTTGACACCCTCCTGAGATATAGAGCAAATCCTAATTCTTGGTAAGATATAATTACAAAGTATTTGGATATGGTTTTCAAACCTGTGTATATTGGAAGCTGTAAATGGTAAAACTGCATTAGAAATACATAGAAAGATATCTGTAAAATAGTTTCCTTTAAGAATTATTAACGTCAGTAATTGGTATGAGTAAAAGGGAAATTAGTCATAATGATGGTGATATTAATTTGGACATTTTTTTTTATTGGGAAGAGACAGCTTTAATAATAGAAGAGAGATTTGCCTTCAAATTAACATCGATGATAATTTGTGGTGATCATTTTTTTTTAATAAGAAATTTTGTACTTATTTTGTTTTCATCTTAATAAGACAACAATCTGTATATTTTCTTTGTTGGAATGAATGCTCATATCCCTGTGATGATACATTTCCAGAAATAGAAAATATCCTTAAACTTCCTATATATCAAGTGACAGTAAACTAGGCATATAGATTGTGTGTATCTATATTCTTTTGTTCAATAATAAGCATTTTCCGTGTTGCATAAATAATTTTAGATGCAGTAAGAAAGAATTTTTATATTAATGAAAATTGATATGATATAACATGTTTAGAATTTGTCATATGTAAAGAACGTTTTTCATTTTGTATTTAGTGCTTGGATAGTTGCATCTAGTTATCGTGAAATCGTATATATACAGTAAATATTATTAGACTATACAGTATAAACAAATGCCTGTAAGGGGCAAAAACATTATTTGGAAGATCAATAAAAACAAGTGCCCGTAAAGGTCTGTTTATGAAAATAGTGGCCCTTATGATAAAAGTTTTTCATGAATAATGTTTATGCTATCAGGAATATTTTGAAATGCGCTTTTTTCATGTATGTAGTTATCTTAAGGAATCGCAATTAGAAGTTTGCTAATTGATATGAAGCAAGTCGTTGCAACTTAGTATCTAATTGCAGTATTCTTTTATTTTTACATATATATAATTTTCCCAGTTGTCTTTTATTTTATTTATTTATTTGTAAATTTATTCTTTAGTGAACAGAGATAAGACAGTCAAGTTATTGAGCTTATTGTTTTCAGTTGCCTATTTTGTTACTTGGAAAATATCTTTAACCCAATGCCGATGAGCATGATGTGTATGTATGTGCTATGCCCACTGTGTGTACTTGTTTGATTGTTTTTACACATAGATGGCTGTACTTGTATTAAGTCACCAATGGACCAATGACGAGTACTGCCTGTCTCACCCGTTTACCCTTTTTTTTTTTTATTAACGAAAATATTTTACGTTATCTTATTTTGCTGTTACTAATGTTTATAACATTATAGTAATTATAATGTTTATTATAGAAATAACACCATCGATATTCGTAGCACTAGTAAATAATACGTTTTTACCGCCAAATCAAATCACATAAGGTCACAAGTTCTACTAATTGACTCCTTTGTGGCTAAGTACTAGCACTATGTGCAGAGACATTTCACAAATATATAGAAAATGAGCACAGCATTTTCCCCATTTATTATTCATTTTCCCTGGCGGCATTGAGTTAATTATGTTTCATGTATTTTTTTTTTTTTTTTTTTAAATAGTTATTTTTAGCCAGGAAGCTGTGAGTCCACATCCAGGAAAACAAGGATGGCTAAATGAGAAGAAATATCATGATATCAACATAAACCTATTTGCAGATAGCTTGTTAAAACATGAAAAAAAAATGTATGTAATAATCACAAAGTTAATATCTTAAAGTTTCAGTGAATATTGATGGTGTTATTTTTATTATAAACATTAGAGTTACTATAATGTTATAAACATTAGTAACAGCAAAATTAGATAACGTAAAATATTTTTGTAAATCAAGGAAAAGAGTAAACAGGCAAGACAGGAAGTACTTGTAATTGGCTCATTGGTGACTTTGTACAAGTGTAGCCATCTACAATCAAACAAGTCGAGTCACAGTGGGCATGGCATGTATGTACATGCCATGCCTGTCAGCACTGGGTTAAGTCAAGTTGGGTAATGCTGTTGAATAAGGAATTTGCCTGTTATTGGTGAACTGCTGTTGACCAGCATGATAGTTTGTGATTTTAAGTGACTTTAAGAATGATCTTCGTAGAACTGTTTTAGGACAAAAAAAAAAATCTTGTAAAATATATTGGCAATCAGTTGTTATATATAAATATTTATACTCATATGTTCTGCTCTTTCTTTTAGTGAGCGAAGGACTGGCATGACTCCCCTGATGTATGGGGCACAACATGGTAACAGCAGCATAGTCACAACATTACTTAAAGGAGGTGCCATAGTCTCTCTCACAACACATCAAGGACACACAGCTGCCAGGATTGCTCAAGATGCTGATTATCATGCTATTGCTGCACTTATCACACAGTGGGGTCTACAAGGTATTTTTAAGACTGAATTGATTAGTCATAGATTAGTTGCTTTCAGTTATGGGAGATAACTATATTGAGTAACTGATTGTAAGTAGCACATATTGCAATCTACTGATATGGCTAACATAGTATTGTAAAGGTTTTTTAAGAAAAATTTCATGTTGAATTCAAAATTTCAATTTGTTATGATGCTTAACCTCTGTTGAACATCAAAGTTCAGAGCTGCCTTTGGAAAAAGCTGTAAAACTAACAGTTTAAATGGCCTCTTCTCAAGACCCTGTGCTCAACTCTTACTTAACCCTTACGATCTGGAGGATGTGACCATCACGTCATTGAAAATTTTGGCTTGAGGGGTGGATTATGTGAACATGCCGTCATGGGAAAATTTGTCTGTGGGCCAGGTGACATGAACTTGCCATCTTGTGCATTTAGGCTGAAGGCTGAGGTGACAGAAGAGACTTGCCAAAAATGCACAAACCTTTGGCATTTAGAAAGGGGCTTTGTCGTTATTCCCATCAATAAACAAATGTGGAAGTAGTGTCCATGAAGCATGACTGGAAGAGCACTGGCTCCAGGGAGGAAACCATTTCCATGGTCAGGATCCTATACCTGGCTACTGTGACTAGCCACATAGGTTGTCTTACAGAAAATTGAATATTATGAAAAGAAGACAAATAACAAAATGCTACTAATTGTTATTATTCCTGTATTGAGTTATGGACTACCTAGAGAGATGATATGGAGTCTGTGCAAGGAAGACTCTTACCAGCTGGATAAAGCAAATCAAATGACAAATATGGACATTGGAATATGGCAAAAAAGCTAAAAATGCTTATGCATTAAAAGAAAAAACTGCAAAGAGCAGGCATAGGGTCTTGTCACCGCAGGCGAGTGTTTATGTGTGCCTGGCCTACAAGCCCCACACCTGTCGGAGGGGCCGCACACATAAGCCTAATGCTGATATTATGTGATTGCTATAAAGTAACCAAATTCAAGGGGTAAAGGGCAGCATTACTATATATTATCCTTTAAGGGTTAGTTGATATTGATAAGCATCTGAATGTTTCATAGCTGAATGTCAGCATGGGTTTTCAAATGACGCTTTTTGATATCCTGAATGGTTATATTTTCTCATGTTGGTATTTTTGCATATCAGTAACACATCATGTTTGGCAGTACATGTAGTTGTAATTTGTATTTAGTCAGTGTTTGCTGTGATCAAGAAATGATAGACTGGTTTTCCTGTAATAATGCTGCAATATTAAATGCTTGCAAAATGAGCAATCTTTGATTTAGGGATTAAGTTATATTAGGTTATATGCAAAATATAATGTATATTACCCATAACATATTTAGAAATTCTGTATTTGGTTCATCTATGCTTCTAGGTGAGAATGGACCAAGCCTGCCAGATGGTCCTGCAGCAGTCGAGGCACGTCTGTCACAACAGGCTCAACTGCAACCTCGAGGAAGAGGAAATGCAGTTCCATCTGTTGACAGTGGTAAGTTATTTTTGAAAAGGTGTTGTGAAAGTATTTTTTGAAAGGCGATAATTGGCCTACATATTGGGAGTGATTGATTTCTATAAAATTGATTACATATAGTAGCCCACCTGCATAAGAGTGACCAGTTTTTTAGTCATTATCACAAACAACTGTATGTGAACATGTTACCTCTGTTGGCATTTCAAATTTTGGAAACATATAAAATCAGTTATATCTTAATACTAAGAAAGAAATTGCAGTTGCTGAGAATAAATGTGAATTGGCAGTTTTTTACTTTGAATACCTTCTCTGAAATCAGTATCATATTTCTGTACAGCACGTGTCATCCCCACGGATCTTGAAACTTTGTTGAACCAACTAGGCTTAGGCTCATACATGAGTGTCTTCAAAGAACAAGATGTGGATCTTCAGATGTTTCTGACATTAACAGATCAGGAACTGAAAGAATGTGGAATACAGTAAGTTTTTGCAGTGGGTACTGTAACTCTTTTATCATCTTTTATAAGCATCTCCAGGTTAATTTTTTTTATTGAAGTAAGGTATAAAATCTTTCACACCTAGGCCTTTAATGGGAAATGATATGTAGTGATGATTTAATTGCATTTCCTGATAATATTTTCTTTTAACTTGATTACAGCAAACTGGGACCTCGACGCAAGATGACTTCTGCCATTGCACGATGGCACAGCAATGCACCATTGTGGAACTCTCTGGAATGTGCCTATGCAGATAAGCTTGAAGTTGAGATGCAAGAGCTGGGTGTGAAGTTAACCGAAGCCATGGAGACTATACAGCAAACAAAAGCCCAGGTAATGGGGATTAGATTGTCATACCCACCATTATCAGTGTCTTCTGTTCAAGTATACTGATCATGCTTTATCACATCTTGACTAAGGGTTACTTTATATATAGTCAGTATTTTATAATACAGAGAATTGTCAAATACAAAATTGGTAGTCTTTATATTATTTATCAGTCTTAACTTGTAATTTATCACATTTGATTTTAATGAAATAGGTTTTGTAATATCTGGATAAGGAAAGCATTTGTATTTCTTGAAAATGGTACATGTAGAATACAGTATTTCCAATGCCTTTTTTACAATTCAAGTGCACTATTTATAAAATGTAATTAAAAGAAGGAACTGGAAAAAATATTTGTGTTAGATCTTTTTATTCAAATTTTTTTTTCAGGTTTATCAAGAACACAATTTAAGAGTTGTGACGGAGGGATGGATAGTTGAAGCTCGTGGTAGGCTACATGACTGCCACCAAAGATGCCAGATGCTGCTTGAACAGATGTCAGTCATGCGGCACTGTACCTCGGTCCTGTCGGCCCAGTTTTCTCTCATTCAGCCGACTCTCATTTCTCCTTTGGTCGAGAGTATCAGCGTTGCCACAGCAAATATTGATGCTCTTTTGAAGCTGACAGATCCAAGCGTTGCAAGAGGTCCCAGCAACCCCTCCTCTCCTCGCAGAAATGGGCATCAAGGCAGCTACCCAAATGCCCCTCGCTGATGGTGCAATACTTAATATTGTCAGGCTAGTCAGAAATAGTTGAATTTGTGTTGTCAAATATCAAGGCATATATTTATGGAGCTAAATTTTTTTTTATTGTATATATATATATTTTTTTTTTGAGAATTATTGTGAAGTTTTACAACAGACTCGGTGACAAGACAATTCCTTGAAAAATGAAATGAACCCGAAATTTCACGCTGCCAAAATAATGTGTACCTGTTAAGAGTGTAATATTACTGGTGTATCAGTAGTGATTATATTTTCTATTACTATTTTAGATAACTGATTTAAAAAAATAATTGCTTATGTAAGTGAACAGGGCAACAGTTTCTTTATCTTGTGATTTTATATACTTCAATAGAGGTGTTGAATTTTCCTGTTTAGAACTGTATGGTTGATATTTTAATACATAATATGTATATATTATACCTTATACATATTTTGTGTGTGTGTGTGCGTGTGTGTGTGCGTGTGTGTGTGCATGTGCGTGTGCGTGTGCGCGTTTGCGTGTGTGTGTGTGTGTGTGTGTGTGTGTGTGTGTGTGTGTGTGTGTGTGTGTGCGTGTGCGTGTGCGTGTGCGTGTGCGTGTGCGTGTGCGTGTGCGTGTGCGTGTGCGTGTGCGTGTGCGTGTGCGTGTGCGTGTGCGTGTGTGTGTGTGTGTGTGTGTGTGGTTTTAAGTATCAATTTAATATTATGTATATGAATATACATATGCATATACATACACATATATATACATATACATATAAACATACACATATACATACTCATACACATATATGTTTCCGTGCCAGTATTTATATTTGCTGTGGAAATTGGTATTTTGTCCAATTATGACAATGAGACTGCTAGTAATACTGCAATCTAAGGGATATTATAAGTTTTTAGTTCATTTTATTATATGCCTGAAATAAAATAACGTTTATTCTAAAAACAGCCAGGGCCTATACAAAACTGAAGTGCAATTATCAGTGCAATATTATTTATCTGAGTATCAAAAATGTAGCAGTATATTTAAGTCCCAGTATGGTGCTAACTTGCATGTTCTTGTCATATTCTCTGTATACTGGTATTGCAGCTTGAGAAATAGTGTTGAGAATTTTGCTCCAGGTTTTATGTTCTTCAAAGAAGATCTGTTGCCGATAGGAATATCTGTAATAAATATTGTCTGAAGACTATCATGATGTTACTATTGGCTTTAGATTATTCTCAGGTGTAGTGAGGAATATATAGAATTATTTGTATTTTTGAAACTGCTAGAGTTAATGAGATATTTTACTATGACTGTGACTTCCAAGTGCCTTCTGAGTGATCCTTTTCTTCAAGAATATATAAATACAATTATTGTAATATTTTGATTTGAATGAATAGCGGATCTTTTCTTAAAATGAGTTTTCTTTAATTGTGATTCATCCTAAAATGTGTTTAAGAATTCGGATTGAAATGGTCTCAACATTCTACCATTTGCACAGTTCTATCATGCGGTATCAGCGCAGTGCTACACCATTCAACCTAGAAGCCATTGTATGTCCCACACAGTATTGCCAAGATTACTTTCTGTAGACATGACATGACATGACATGACATGTCCCTCCCTGTCTGATCATATTAACCTCCCCCTGTCAATGTCAGAAATGTTGGTGTCTAGGTCATCCTGCCAAACACTGCTCGATGCCCTCTATATACCTAATCTGGTCATAAATGATCAAGCTGCTCTTAACAATCACACATGTGCCAGTTGTGGTGGCTCCCATAATGCATTTTATAGGGCTGCCCTACCTACAAGTTTGTGTCTGAAGTGGCAACCCTCAGATGCATACTTGGCCTCACTCTACTCAAAGCCAGACAAGAAACGTCAACTAGGTTTCTCTCTCACTCTCTACTCCAATAATCGCTCTACCCCTCCCCTTTCCTCCCAAGATGTTTCTACATCTCCCCCAGCATCTCTTCCTCATCCCATTCCCTCTCCCTCCCAAATTGTTTTGCTATTCTAAATCCAGACACTCCAATCTCCTCCACTATTCCAGACACTAATCCCTACTTCCTCAGTACCTAACCCTTTTCCTCCTCACCCAATTCATCGCAGACAAGCTAAATTCTCCATCTCATCTTCTACCCCATCCTCTCCTTCAGCCTCTCCCTCCACCCCTCAAACATCTGTCCCTTCTTCTCCCCCATAAGAAAACCTTTATTTCTCAGACCTCCCCAACATTCAAAACTCTCTGATCATAACCCAAGATAACATGCCATCTATCATCCTCCTACTCATGTTCTCCCTACTCCCCTTCTTCCCACTCCATCCCAATACATTATACCCCCCCTGTTTAAAGCCACATCATCCCTCCCCTCCTAACATACTATCCCTCCCACTTTCCCCAGATGTGACCCTTTGTAACAGCAACCCCATTCCTCAGATTCTCTCCCTCCTAAAATTCTCACTTAATCTGTGATCTAATAGCCCTTATACCCCTTTCTCCTTTGGTAATCCCTACTTTACCCTATGGACATCTTTGCAAAATGCCACACATCTTCCACTATCAACTTTGACCTAATCGCCCCTGTTAATTCCTACCTCCCTGAACTGCTTTATGACTTCTGACGTATAGCATATATAATCATTATCGAACCCTCTCTTTACGCTTTTCTCTATTACGCCTCTCTATAGTGCTATATGACCTTTGATGTAAAGGATATAGATTTTGCTTTGTAACCATTAACCATTCTTATCTCTCCCTCTACTCCCCCATTACTATGCATAGTGATGTATTCCTTCTTGTCATGTGTATGACCAACTGCATTTGTTTTTGTTAAGCTGTTTTAAGTTATCTTTTATTTTTTTCTTGTAAGACTCAATTTCCTACTGTACCGATTTGTTTGTTGTCTTCTCTCTCCAGTTTTTACCCAACAGTATTCTGGAGTATCTCATTTTGAAGGCCATGAGGTCAGTTCCGTTCTTGCACCTGTACAGTACTGTTGGTGTTAGTGGGCAGCATCAATAGATTTACTTTGTTACAGACCTCTCTTCCCCTATCCCTTGCCTGTTGTTGCCATGGGGGGGGGGGTAGTAGACAGAGACGGAGGCCCAATGCTAGGGATCACCTCTACCTTAGACCTCAGCCCTAGACTTGACTAATTTTGTATGGTTTTCTCTTCTTCCCTTCTCCTTTTCCTTGTCTTCTCCAATCCCTTCTAATATTCATATATTGAGGTGTGAGTGACGTGTTGGAAGGATGAAAGGCTGACTTTGTGCCAGGCATGAACGGCCAAGGGGAGACATATGCACAGTATTCCCTTGTTTATTTGTCTAGCTCTTACCCCTCAAGGCTTAGCATGGCCAGTGATTAGGGGCAATGAGACTTATCCCTTTATCAGTTATCCCCATTAATTTAAATTATCATGATTCCATGACCTCAGCCTCTCCTTTGACCATGACTGAACAATACTTCTACCTCCCTCCTAAATGCCTACTAACACCTCAGACCATAAGAAAACCTTGTTTCTTAGACCTCCCCAACCGACTCCACTGCAGAAAACTCATGCAATTTTTCTACTCCCATTCCTTCTACACTTAAAGTAACTGCCGACATCCATCCTCCTCCTACTCTCCTTTGCTAATCCCTGCCTTACGCTATGGATATCCTTGTAATATTCCACACATCTTCCTTTGAAAACTTTGATCTAATAATCCCTATCTTCCTGAACTGCTATAGGACTTCTGACGTGTAGCACATTTCATCATCAACTAATCCCCCTCTTTACCCAATTCACTGTTACACCTTTCTAGAGCGCTATATGACCTTTGATGTCTAACTCATATATTTTGCCTAGAAACCATCCGAATCCTAAGCTAAAGCATTATCAACTCTGACTGATTTCACTGGTAAACCCATTCCTGCTCAGCCACACCCCACCCTCAATACTTGTATCGTAACTGTCTTCATCTGACCGACAAATTGCCCTGCCTACGACAATGATTGGTCATATTGTGCAGACTTACTCGCCTGTCTCATGGAGTATGACCCAGTATTAGTACAATGCTACACCATTCTTCCTAGAGACCACAGTAAGTCCAATATTACTTTCCATAGACATGGCCTTCCCTTCATGTTAATGTTGGAGGGACATCACTCCCTGTCCGACTCTATCAACATCCACTCCGTCGATGTCAGAATTGTTGGCGTTTAGGCCACCCTGTCAAACTCTGCTGCTCCACAGCTCAATGTCCTCTATGTGGCTAACCTGTTCTGCACAGTCACATACATGTGCCCTATATGGTGGCTCCCATAATGTATTTTATAGGGGCTGTCCTTACTTGCAAGCTTGAATCTGAGGTGGCAACGCTCAGATTCCAACTTTATGCGACAAGAAGCATGTCAACGAAAATTTGCTCTTACTCCCTACTCCAGTGCTGACCTATACACTGCCCCACCCCAGTTCTCTCAAGATGTTTCTACATCTTCCCTGTATATATGCCTTCTCCATCTTTCGTTTCCCCTTCTGACCCCTTTCTCTCCCAATCAAATTCTTTTGTAATTTTAAATCCAGACCCTCTCCCTCCTCGACAATATAATATAATCGACAATATAATCGTTCAACTCCAACTTCTCCTACCACACCCTGTCCTTCACCTACCTCTTGTTATATTCTTTAGACGCCTGTATCTTGTTCTCCCGCTCATAAGAAAAGCTTTGTTTCTCAGACCTCCCCAACCAAATCCACTTGAGAAACTCTCGAAGACATTCATAACAAATATAATCAGGACCCAAGATAATATGCCTACACCTCATCTATCTTCCAATCTCTCTGCTCCCATTCATACTACACTCACAGCCTCCTCCTATTCAAGTTCCCCCTACACCCCCTTACTTTCCATAGACATGGCCTTCCTCCCACTCCCTCCCAACACATCCCATCCCCCCTGCTTCAGCTGCATCCCCCCCCTTCATTCTCTATTATCCCTTGAACTTCCACCTGGATATACAACAACCCCTTTCCCTGGATTTTCTCCCTCATGACGTTTCTCCTAAAACTATGGCCTAATCGCCCTCAAACACCCTTTTTCCCTTTGCTAATCCCTTCCTTACCCTACGGACATCCTTGCAGAATCCCACACTTCTTCTTTTTACAACTTTGATCTAATCACCCTTGTTAATTCCTACCTTGGCCCATTTATTCAGCTTCTCTACCCCCACCACTCTTTGCCTCTTTCAATGCCATACTATCCTAAACTGCTATATGACTTTGACGTGTAGCATATTTAATGAGTAACTAACCCCCTCTTTACCCGTTTTACTTCTACACCT